CTTCAGGGTAAATTGCTGTAAGTAAATTTGTACAGTCTAAGAGTACCTATATTTGAAATTTTGATAAATATTGCCAAATAACTCTCAAAACTTAGTTCAAATTTACACTATTAGTACCTTTTTTCACTAGTCTCATCAACATTGATTTTATCATTCAGATTTTAATCATATTCATGTTTTTTTAAGATTTTATTTTTTTATTTTCAGAGAGAGGGGAAGTGAGGGACAGAAACTTCAATGTGATAAAGAAATATCTATTGGTTGCCTCTCACATGCTCCCAACTGGGGACCTGACCTGCAACCAAGGCATATGCCCTGACCAGAATAGAACTGGCAACCTTTAGGTTCACAGGCCAGTGCTCAATCCACTGAGCCACACATGCCAGGGCTAATTATTTTTAAAAACTTTTTATATGCTTTACCCGTTTTTCTATTGAAGTATTTCTCTTACTGATTTATAAGACCTGTTATTAGGAATATCATCAAGGTCTTTGCTATTGTGGCTCCGTTGGAGTGTTCTTCCACACACGGGAAGGTTGCAGGTTTGATCTCTGATCAGGGCAAGTACGGGAGACAAGCAATCGATGTTTCTTCTCTCTCTCTCTCCCCCCCCTGCCCTCCCTCTGTAAAATCAATAAACATACTATTAAAAAAATTTTTTTAAGGATATTATTAAGTACATGTTACCAGCATTTTTTGCAGTGTATGATTTGTTCAACTTTATGGTGTCTGTTGTCATACTATTTTTTTTATTTTTCATCATAATTTTTATATGCTATACTATACCTATTATATTTAACTATGTATCATTTATATTTGGTATATAATATAGGTAAAATAATTTGCTATCAAGTAGTTGTACTAGCAACATTTACTAATTAGTAGATTTTTCCTACTCATTTAGGATAATACCTTTATCTAGCCAGGTAGGCTAATATATGCACTGTTTCATTTACTGCAGCCTTATAATAAAGTTTAATATCTTCTAGGTCAAGCTTTCTCGTAATCTTTTATTGCTAAGTAGTTTTAACTGTTTTACAGGTACTTTATATATACTTTCAATGTATTTGTATTTAAGTTTTCATGATATATATAACATGCATACTTAAAATGAAGTTTACAGCTAGTTACCTTAATTATGAAAACAATTTAAGGAAAAGTCTCTGAGTTCCCTCCCTCAGCCACCCAAGAGCCATTCCCCAGAGGTAGCTTTTTCAAAATTATAAATCTGATTGAAAGTTTTTTAAAAATTTTGTTATCTTTAGATTAGATGAACTTTAGAGTCATTTAGTCAAATTTTATGAAATAAAACACTTTGGGATTTTATTTGAATATAATGAATTAGTAAATTAATTTAGGGAGGATTGACATCATTATAGTATTTTAGTCTCCCATTCAGAAATGCTAAGCTTTTTTAAGTCTTTTTTGTTATGTCATTCAATAAAGTTTTAGTTATTTATCTTGCATGTTTTTCACATTTCTAAAAATATATACATACATTTATAAAACACAGCATACATCAAGGATAAATCATTTTTTTTCTAAGATCAGTGAGTTACAGGGAGCGAGAGAGATGAGCAGATAAGGGTGTGTGTGTGTGTGTGTGTGTGTGTGTACAACTGCTGTTGTAACTCAGGTGTTCACCACTATACTTTTATGCTTATAATTTATAGGGGGCTTATTTTTTTATATTTATAGTTTACAGTTTAAAATACTATTACAATTAGAAAAAATTGATCGTAGAAAATGTTGGACAACTCAGAATAATATGCATTTAGAAGAAACATTACCTTCAATACTATCGTACAGAAATAACCAATTTACATTTTTGTATATGGCACTTCTAGAAGTTTTATAATACAGTCTATAATTATGTTTATATAATTTTTATACACAATAAGCTCCATCATCTTTTTTTGAATAATTGTAATTGCTGAATATTAGTCTATCCTGTATTTACTGAAAATTATTTAACTATTTCTATGTTGTTGGATTTTTAAATTTTTTATAATAAACATTTTTTTAGCATTTTTATATCCATATATTGTTTGCACATTAAATTGTTTGAAGTGAAATTCTAGAAGTAGAACTACTGGAATAAAGACTATAAGCATTTTAAATAAGGTTGTAAAAAATAAAAATAATACAAAGTACTATAGAAAATAAAATGTAAAGAATAGAATTAAAATTACTCATGATCCCACTTACAAGAGGTAAACTATTTCGCTTTTGATATCACTTTTTTTTTACAGATTTTATTTATTTATCTTTAGAGCGGAAGGGATGGAGAGAGGGAGAGAAACATTAATGTGTGGTTGCCTCTCATGTGTCCCTTGCTGGGAACTGGCCTGTAGGGAACCGGCCTGCAACCCAGGCATGTGCCCTGACTGGGAATCGAACCGCGATCCTTTGATTTGCAGGCCCATGCTCAATCCACTGAGCTACACCAGCCAGGGCCTGATATCATTTTTATAATTTTTTTTCTGTAAAAATGTGTAATTTTTTATCCTTTTGGTTGTGCAAGGAAGCAAAGCATATCTACCTATACCTCCATCTTTGGGCTGGAAGCCTAAAAAAAATCTTTGAAATCTTGATTTTAAATTAAGCAATCTTACTAAGAGATATACCATTTTTGTTAACCACTACCCATTTTCAGACATATATTATTTACAGTTTTAAAGTATTATTATTATTATTTTAGATTTTATTTATTTATCTTTAGAGGGGAAAGGAAGGAGAGAAGGAGAGAACTATCAATGTATTGGTTGCCTCTCATGTGTCCCCTGCTGGGAACTGGCCTGCAGCCCAGGCATGTGCCCTGACTGGGAATCGAACCACGATCTTTTGGTTTGCAGGCCTGCACTCAATCCACTGAGCTATACCAGCCAGGGCTTAAAAGTATTATTTTTAACTGTCAAAAATAAAAGTATAGCCCTGGCCAGGCGGCTCAGTTGGTTGGAGCATCACCCTGTCTGCCAGCAGGTTGTGGGTTGGGTTCCTAGTTGGGGCACATACCTTGGTTGTGTGTTCCCCGGATGAGATATGGAGGGGGGTGTCAATGGATGTTTTTCCATCACATTGGTGTTTCTCTCTCTCTCTCTCCCTTCTTCTCTCTCTAAAAAATTAATAGACATATTCTTGGGTGAGGATTAAAAAATGAAAGTTTAGTAAACATTTTTACGTATAAATCTTTGTATTTCTCATTATTTCCTTAGAATAGTCTCAAAAATGGAATTACCTAATCAGAGGATACACATTTTTAAAGCCATATATACTTCCAGATACCTTCTAGAAGGTGTTACTAAGTTACATCAGCAGTATGTGTGTGTGCCAAAAAGTCATTTTACACAACCAGGTCTAAGTCTGTATCTCTTTGCCCTGAAAGCAGAGGTAATGGCTTCCACTTTCTATTGATCAGTTTGTGGAAACAAAGCTATTTCTTGAGACTGGTTTTTGATCTGTCTGTTAAAGGGGCCTTGGCCATATATATTTAGGCCCTGAAAATAAATTGTTGCATTTTTCAGGGAAGAGAGGTGAAAGGTAATTTTTCAGACTTTAGTGAAGAGACCTTTGGAGAATTTTGTTCTGGATGCTGTATATTCTCTATAGGGAATGTCTGCAGGCCCCAAAATTCATAGAACTGAAGAGTACCCATAGAGTGATGTCAAATTAAGACTCAGCCTTTCGAAAAAGAAGAGGGACAGTGTGGTAGAAGATATTTAGCTGTAGTTTCCTCTTTTATTTTTTTTATTTCCTCGGGAACAATTTCTTCTCCATTAGGTTGCCAATATTACATGGTATCTCTGCCTGTGAGAAGGGCCGAGGTGTTGAGAAACTAAAAGAAACCTAGGGCTTTGGGTTACGAAGTCATTGTTTTTCATTCTTATGCCTTGTGCAGATAGATCATCTCCTTTTCTTCTGGACCTCATTTGCACCTGGGCCCACTAGATTGTATTTATCAATTAAATAAATGAATACATAAATAGACGAAGAGTTCAGTAAAAAAAAATTTTAAATACACAGGTACCAGAATACAAGTAAAATTATGAGAAGTGTTTCTTTCATATTCAGTTCATTCATGATCTAATTTTTCCTTAAAGTTTTAATAAGCACAACTTAAGGATGCACACATATCAGAGACCCCCCCCCCACACACACACAAACGGAATTATCTTCTGGAGGGCAGGCCCCTTCAGGACAGGCTGCTTCTTTCTAGGTGAGTGATCTGGGAAGCCATCTGTGTCTCTATACCTACTATTGTTTTGTTGTGAGAGCTTGTTTGGCTTCAGTGAATTTTTGTTGAAGACTCTTTCAACACATCTGCCCATTTCATGATGGGTGGCTTACAAGCACACCTGCCCACACTGCGCTTTGTTCAGCAGTTTTTGACCAAAAACAGCATGATCCCTGTGCCCCACCCTCCCTGTTCACTGGAGCTCACCCATACCAACCTTTGACATTTTTTGTTTCCCTGATGAAAAAATTTCTCCAAGGGAAACAGTTTGCAGATGTGGAAGAGGTGAAACAAACAAAAAAGAAGCACTAAAAGGCATCAAAATCGATGTGTTCAAAAACTGTTTTGAGCATTGGAAAACAACGTTTCAGTAGGTGTATTGCATCAAATGAGGAGTACTTTAAAGGTGACCGAAGTTTAAATATGTAAGAATAAACACAAGTTTTTATAAATAAATTCATTTGGGGGGGTCCTCCATTGTATGCTGATAAGAAAAGTCAGAATAGTTTTTGATCTAGAAAGCTTATATCTACAAGAATATAACATCATTACTTTTAAAGGTAATCGGCTTTTAATTTCGTTTAAACTACTTTTTCTCTAGCTACTCAAGTGAAACCTGAATTAGGCTGCAGACTCGCACTGCTGGGTAAGAATGGAGGGAAGCCCAGAAAACCTATACCTTGGGCCTAAATAGTCACAGGTTCCTTTAGGCTCTATTGCAGTGCCCAGATCCGTATCTTGAAATCCTCGAATGTGTTCTCCACAGGGAGCATTTCCAGCTCGTTTGAAGAAAGTGCTGATTGTGGGAGCCCCCATATGGTTCCGAGTGCCCTATTCCATTATCAGCCTCCTCCTGAAGGACAAAGTCCGTGAGAGGGTAAGGCAAGCTAGCTTTATTTTATTTGGAGGTGGATAGATTCCCATTCCTGCTGTTGAAACCTGCCAATTAATTTTCTGCCTTCAAAAACCGTCCTGCTGTCTCGTCTGCTAGAGCACTTTCTGCTTCTGTCAGTACATTCATGTGTCTTCTCTGCTTTGTTCTTTCTCAGCTCAGCGTAGGCTGGCTCTCCCACTGTACTACCAGTTCCTTCGAGTCAGGAACTGGACAGACTTTACATTGAGTACACCCCCATCATAGCAGTTTGCATCAAAATGGTACTGAAGGAATGTATCCCATGGGTATCTTAGTGATAGCTACTACCAAAATATAGCCTGTTGCTATAACAGGCCTTTAATATTTAACAACATGTAATATAATTGCATTAGTCGAACTGGTGTTTGAGTTTGTTCAACTGGAAATACCACTCAGTCCTTTGACCACCACACGGGGCGGAGGAGAGTCTCTCACTCCGTCTCTACTTATATTCCAGGCATTTTCTTTTAAAACAGCTTGTTGCTTCCTAACTTCAGAAGTGTTATCTAAAATTATCTTAATTTTGTTATCATCCCCTGAATGTTCCAGGACTGAAAGATTATGGTTTTACTCATTCACTTCTACCATTGAAACAAAGGGCATCTGAAACATTGAACCATAGGAGAAGATAATAAAGTTGTGAAATATCAGAGATTTTTGTAGCAAAGGCTTTTATGAGGTTATGTGAATAATAATGCAGATATAGCTGGGGTAGATAATGCCTTTACAGCTGGGGTGACTTGAGGTTGAGAGGAGAAACCGAAGATGTTTGGTTCTGTGGAACTGCTTAGGGACCTAGTGACTCAGAGTAGGGGAGATCTTCCTTAATAAAACTCTTTGAGAAGACTCCTTAGGCAAGTCCTTGCACTTTTATATACAAACATGAATGCATATATAGACTCAAAATATATTAAACACCTTTACAGTAAAAGCTCTGGGCCCTAGGAATGAGAAGTTGATCGAGACAGTCCTTACCTCGAAGGCGCTTGTGGTTCTCATAGGGGACCCAGATAGACGAGTGCAGAGAACTGTGGTTCTGCAGGAGCATGGAGGAGAACATTGCCTGGGCAGATGGGCTTCTCGTGCTGTAAGCTGTCCTTAAAGAGGCCAAGGAAGGAAGGAGGGCATTTCAGGAAGAGGCAACAACAAGAGAGATCAGCACCTTCATTCCTCATGGATTTCGATAACAACCATCTAGGCTAATATGGTCCAGTATAGCTGTGTTCCAGCAGAGAGCAGAATTAGGTATTACTATGACTTCTCTAGCATTTTCCCTGGACTACTCTTGAGTTTGGGTGGCTGGTCTTATCTTAGTTTCATAGAAACCTATCTTTGAGAACACCCATACCAATCTGTGAGTAAAGCAAAATCTAAGAGACGTAGTATAAAGTTGACAAAAATAATCACTACCTATGCATTATTGGTAGTCAAAAGGTGAACACCTGCCTCAAATGTTACTGGGACGCCTTGCTAATAGTATAAAATAATACCTTTGTTCACTTTACCTTCCTTTCAGAAGGTATATAACAGAACCCCTAATTCTAGGAGTGAATTTGATACACATTATGGGAATTGTCTGAGAAATTCGTAAGACTTCAATCTCAGTACTGTCTACTTTGACAACTATATCAAGTATTTCAGGCCATCTCATCCTATTCTCCAAACCTAATATTATTTTATATTAGTTTTAGGTGTACAGCACAGTGGTTAAACAGTCATTATTTACAGTGTGATCCCACCCTCCCCCCAATATTTCAAGTACCCATCTGACACCATACAGCACTATTACAATAGCACTGACTGCATTCTCTGTGCTGTACTTTACATCTCTGAAGCACATCTGCTCTTTATCTTCACTATGTCTTTTTGCCTCCACATACTCACATGGTTATTTCCGGCCTTCCAGATCCAGATATTGAAGACCTCTGAGGTCGCCCAGCACCTGCCCAGAGAGTGCCTTCCAGAAAACCTGGGTGGGTTCGTCAAAATGGATCTCACCACGTGGAATTTCCAGTTCCTACCGCAGATGAATGGCCACCCAGATCCCTTCGATGAGATCATCCTGCTCTCCCTCCCTCCTGCTTTAGACTGGGACTCGGTACATGTTCCAGGTCCCCATGCCATGACCATTCAAGAGCTGATGAATTATGTTAGCACCAGGCAGAAGCAGGGGATATATGAGGAGTATGAAGACATTCGTCGTGAGAACCCTGTTGGCACTTTCCATTGTTCCATGTAAGTAGGAAAAGTGGGTCCAACTACTGTGCTCTGGCAGGTGCTGGCAACAGCTCCTGCACTTCAGGGCCCGTGTTGGGGAGCATCACTCTCACTTCGGTGATGGTTTCTTTCCCCCAGGAAGAGGAATGTTCTCCTTTGATGCTTGTTGCCAACATTCTATACTCTGAAATTTCTGATGATCTTTGGTAACAAAAGAGGAACCCCGTAATAATGAACACATTGTCTTCATTAATATCTTCCTGAAATGCAGGTATTTTTAGGAAAAACCCCAAAGTGTAGGCTCTCTGTTCCTGTCCTTAGTGTGATCTCTGGTCCTTTCATTTAAGCACTTTCTCTCTAGAGTATTTGTAGTATAACATTACTCTCTGAGGGAGGGGTACAACTTCAGAATAATTCGTAGGAGCATTTCATATATTGTTTCCCAGAAATTGTTGTCAATTTTGGCTCAGATACTTTTTTAAAAGTATATTTTATTGATTATTCTATTACAGTTGTCCCATATTTTTTCTCCCCTTTATCTTCCTCCACCCTGCACCCCTCCTCCCTCCAGCATTCCCTCCCTTAGTTCATGTTCATGGGTTGTACATCTAAGTTCTTTGGCTTGTCTGTTTCCTATACTGTTTTAACCTCTCCTGTCGATTTTGTATTTACCATTTATGCTTCTTATTCCCTGTACCTTTTTCCCCGTTCTTTCCCCTCCCCTTCCCCACTGATAACCCTACATGTGATCTCCATTTCTGTGATTCTATTCCTGTTCTAGTTGTTTGTCCTGTTAATTTGTTTTTGTTTTAGGTTTAGTTGTTGATAGTTGGGTTTGTTGTCATTTTACTGTTCATATTTTTGATCATCTTCTTTTTCATAGATAAGTCCCTTTAACATTTCATATAATAAGGGGTTGATGATAATGAACTCCTTTAACTTGACCTTATCTGGGAAGCACTTTATCTGCCCTTCTACTCTAAGAAGGGTAGAGTAATCTTGGAGGTAGGTCCATGCCTTTTATGGCTTTGAATGCTTCTTTCCAGACCCTTCTTGCCTGAAAGTTTAGAGAAATCATCTGCTGTTCTTATGGAAACTCCTTGTTAGGTAACTATCTCCTTTTCTCTTGCTGCTTTTAAGATTCTCTCCTTATGTTTAATCTTGGGTAATTTAACTATGATGTGTGTTGGTGTGTGTTTCCTTGGGTCCAACTTCTTTGTGACTCTCTGAGCTTCCTGGACTTGCATGTTTATTTCCTTCACCAGATTGGAGAAGTTTTCCTTCACTATTTTTTCAAATAAGTTTTCCAATTCTTGTTCTTCCTCTTCTCCTTTGGCACCCCTATGATTTGGATATTGGAACGTTTAAAGTTGTCTCAGAGTTTCCTAAGCCTTTACTCATTTTTTTTTTTGAGTTCTTGTTTCTTCATTCTGTTCTGGTCGAATGTTTATTTCTTCCTCCTGTTCCAAATTGTTGATTTGAGTCCTGGTTTCCTTCCCTTCACTGTTAGTTCCCTGTATATGTTTTTTTTTTTATTTCACTTTGCATAGCCTTCACTTTTTCCTTTATTTTTGTATCCATGCTCATTCGTTTCTCTGAACATTCTGACTACCAGTGTTTGAACTCCGCATCTGATAGGTTCACTCTTTTCTCATTGCTTAGTTCTTTTTCTGGAGTTTTGATCTGTTCTTTTATTTGGGCCATACTTCTTTGTCTCAGCACACCGGTTATGTTGAAAGGGGCTGAGCCATAGGTATTGACTACGATGGGTCAACCTGGGTCTCTGCATTGTGGTGCTGATGTGGGGGAGGGGTCAGAGAGGGAACAGTGCTGCTTGCTCCGCTCTGGCCCCACTTTCAGTCACTTCGCCTGCTACCCACAAGTGAATTGGGCCCTTCTGGTGCTGATTCCCAGGTGTGTGTGTTTGTGTATGTTATAGGACCTCATGGGTTCCTCCAACAGACTCTCTTGTGAGACTGGGAGTTTCTCCTACCACCACAACCCCCACAGAATTTTACAGCCAGAGGTTTTGAGGCTCCAGTTTCCCACACTGGAACCCTGGCTTGCGTGGTCTGTGTTGCTTTCCAGTTGTCCCTCCCGGTTTCTCCGCACATGAAAGTGGACCACCTGGTCTGCCAGCTGCCTCCTTGCCACATGTCCTCTTCATCCCAGCTTCCCATCTCCACCCCTCCTACCAGTCTGGATGAATGTTTCTGCTTCAACTCCTTGGTTGTCAGACTTCTATACAGTTTGATTTTCTGGCAGTTGTTTGTTTTTTGTTTTTAAATTGGTTGTTGTCCTTCTTTTGGTTGTGTGAGGAAGCACAGTGTATCTACCTATGCCTCCCTCTTGACCAGAAGTCTCAAATACATTGTTATAAAAATTCTCTACAGGGTTAGACATTCTTAGGTCAACATATATTATGACTTCCTGGGAAGAAGGGAGAGGCAGCTAGTAGTTTTAATAATAGTTGAATTCAAGGTAAACAAGTAGCTGAATCTATTTCCACATGAGTGTCTCTTCTCAATATGCTCAAAAGGAAAGCTGTTTGGAGTTTTCCCTCATAAAGCTGCAGCCACATCTCTAGATGCCATATTAAGTCAAAGTAACTTCATACAATTACGTCACAACACAGTACTCCCCTCTGTTTTCTACCAAAGAACTAGCTGCACATATTATATACTTGAAATTCTAAATTTCCATCTTTCTCTTATCATTTATCTTCATCTAACAAGTCATAACTGTGGACATTCCCACGTGCTGCAAAGAATCGGCCTTGTCACAGCAATTCTCTCGTCTGTGGTATTTCTTTTCTCCCCTGGGCCTGATTTCTGGCTACCCTAATAGCAGCCTCATAACATGCTACATGGACATTAACCCTACACATCTAATGCTGTTTTTCATATTCTCTCACCACATATTTTTCATATTCTCTCCATCTTTGCTTTCAAGCAGCATATAGCACATCTTTTCAAGAAAAAACCCTTTGCACTGAATGATAAACTGACAGAATGCAGTACCTCAAGTTGTCCCACTTCTGTGTGAGGATTCAAAATTTTATTTTATTTTTTCAATTCAATAAATCATTTTAAAAAATATTTTATTTATTTATCTTTAGAGGGGAAGGGAAGGAGAGAGGGAGAGAAACATCAATGTATGGTTGCCTCTCATGCGCCCCCTGCTGGGAACTGGCCTGCAACCCAGGCATGTGCCCTGACTAGGAATCGAACCATGATCCTATGGTTCATAGGCCTGCGCTCAATCCACTGAGCTATGCCAGCCAGGGCCAATTCAATAAATCTTTATTGAGCTCCCATAGGTGCATGAATTTAGGATCTATAATTACATAAGTAGAAGAGTGTTACTTTAGCCCCTATAAAAAAAGCAAACCAGAACTTCATTATATATTTCAAGTGAGTCATTTAATGAGAATGAGGCTCAGTTTGATATTACCATAAGCGTTAACATAAGAAAACGGAAAAGTATAAACATTCTCACTGCTACCAGAAAAGAGTTTGATGCCAGGATAAACTAACCTGTTGGTCTAACAATAGCTGATCAACAAAGGTAGAGAATCTGGATGAAAAAAATGTACTTAGAAACACTGTCCTTTGAGGGCTCCTTGCCCTGAGGGCAGCAAAATAGTGAAAGAATTTAATGGTTCAAAAACTATATCGAGAGTATAAAAAGAAGACTTAGGCACAGCTTTGGGGAAAAAAATTGAGACTAGGTGACACTAAATGTAGCTGGATTACAAATTCTAAAGTTTCCCTGGAATTGCAGTAGCACTCTGAGCTGACCGAAGGGGCCACAGACTCATGCTCCTTTGAATAAGTGGTTTTATTTTTCTTTAATATATTTTATTGATTATGCCATTACAGGTGTCCCATTTCCCCTCTTCATTCCCCTCTACCCTGCATACTCCCGTTCCCCCCACTCCCCTCCTTTAGTTCATGTTCATGTGTCACAAGTTCTTTAGCTTCTACGTTTCCCCTACTATTCTTGCCCTCCCCCTGTCTATTTTCTACCCACCATCTATGCTACTTATTCTCTGTACCTTCTCCCCCATTCTGCTCCTCCCACTCCCCTGTTGCTAACCCTCCACGTGATCTCCATTTCTGTGGTTCTGCTCCTGATCTAGCTGTCCTCTTACTTTGCTTTTGTTTTAGGTGTGGTTGTTAATAACTGTGAGTTTGCTGTCCTTTCACTGTTCATATTTTTTATCTTCTTTTTCTTAGATATAGCCCTTTAACATTTCATATAATAAGGGCTTGGTGATGATGAACTCCTTGAACTTGACCTTATATGAGAAGCACTTTATCTGCCCTTCCATTCTAAATGAAAACTTTGCTGGCTAGAGCAATCTTGGATGTAGGTACTTGCCTTTCATGACTTGGAATACTTCTTTCCAGCCCCTTCTTGCCTGTAAGGTCTGTTTTGAGAAATCAGCTGACAGTCTGATGGGAACTCCTTTGTAGGTGACTGTCCCCTCATCTCTTGCTGCTTCTAGAATTCTCTCCTTCATTTGAATCTTGGCTAATGTAATGATGATGTGCCTTGATGTGTTCCTTCTTGGGTCCAACTTCTTTGGGACTCTCTGAGCTTCCTGGACTTCCTGAAAGTTAATTTCCTTTCGCAGATTGGGGAAGTTCTCCTTTATTATTTGTTCAAATAAGTTTTCCACTTATTGGTCTTCCTCTTTCCCTTCTGGTACCCCTATAATTCGGATGTTGGAGCATTTAAAGATGTCCTGAAGCTTCCTAAGTCTCTCCTCATTGTTTTGAATTCTTGTTTCTTCATATTTTTGTTTGGTCATTTCTTTCTTCCATCTGGTCCACTCTATTGATTTGAGTCCCAGTTTTCTTCCCATCACTGTTGGTTTCCTGTACATTTTCCTTTATTTCATTTATTGTAGTCTTCATTTTTTTTCATTTAATTTGCAAGCAAATTCAACCAATTCTGTGAGCATCCTGATCACCAGTGTTTTAAACTGTGCATTCGATAGGTTGGCTATCTCT